TGATATATATATATATATATATATATATAAGAACTGCCTGCAGTGATATTGATATCAAATATATCACAATAAAAAGCTTTCTAAAATAAAGTTCAGATCCACTACTAGGGAACCTTGAACAAGCGCTGTTCCGCAAGACGTGAAAAGAAAAACTTGGATAAATGTTTTCATTTTCATTTCATTTATTTGAAGTTAAGCACAAAGCTACACAATGGGCTATCTGTGATCTGCCCACCGCGGGTATCGAAACCCGGTTTCTAGCGTTGTAATTCTGCAGACATACTGCTGTGCCACTGGGGGGGTGGTGGAAGATAAATGATAATAAAGAATAAATTGACAAGTTTAAATGAAAACTTTTTCTAGCTTATTTTGTGCGACGTTTGGAGCAGACGCCCTTCGTCAGGCTGTAAAGGCGTATTACAATGAAATTAGGCTAAAAAAATAATCGATTATTTCTGAGCTTATTTCCATTGTAACGCGGTCTTTAGGGCCTGACGAAGGGCGTCTACTCGAATTGTCGTACAAAATATAATAGAAAAAGTTTTCATTTAAACGTGTCTCAAAACTCTTTATTATCATTTATTCCACTACTAGGGAATAACAAGTTTATTAATACGGATACAACTTCCGACTGAACTAAAGACGACACACGAAATTGTCGAAAGCTGTATCCATATAAACTTGTTATTCCTTAATAGTGGATCCGAACTGTATTTTAGGTTACTTTAGACGTTATTTGAAATCTTACTTCAAATGTTTTGCTTGACAGGTTATCACATATCTTAGTAAAATTATTTAGAGATTAAATTAAGGTGCTATAATTTAAGCTACGTAACTGACATTTTGAGCTTTGTGTCGTATTTCTTGGCAAAACATGAATAACGTATAAGCCAATGGAAAGAACTAGAAGAAACTTACATATGAAATAAAACAAATCAATGTAACTCACGAACTGAATTAGGGGGTATCTTTCCACAAACTTACAGAAATAAAACAAATCAATGTAACTCACGAACTGAATTATGGGGTATCTTTCCACAAACTTTCAAATCATCAATCTGTAAGTAATCGTTCGTACAATCTTCCGAATCCTCCAAATGAAAGTTATTATACTTAATTTCGATAGCGCACACATCAAATTTGACTTTCTTCACTGTATATTGACAATCTATATTGGAAGGGTAGGCTTTGTTCCTGTACTCTGGACTGAGAATATGGAACGTTTCTTTCGAAAAAGTAGCGTCGCAACCTGGAAAAAATAATCAGCAATTTAGATACAAGTTCCCGATGTTTTAAAACAATTTCTTTTGACGGCATGGAGCATACATAACCTTTAATTGGAACATACATAACCTTTAATTGGAACATACATAACCTTTAATTGGAACATACATAACCTTTAATTGGAACATGCATAACCTTTAATTGGAACATGCATAACCTTTAATTGGAACATACATAACCTTTAATTGGAACATACATAACCTTTAATTGGAACATCATAACCTTTAATTGGAACATGCATAACCTTTAATTGGAACATACATAACCTTTAATTGGAACATACATAGCCTTTAACTGGAACATACATAACCTTTAATTGGAACATATATAACCTTTAATTAGAACATACATAACCTTTTATTTATTCATTAGCACTATAGAGAATTGTTTGAAGTAACACTTCTGAAAAGCCAACCTAGAAAACAGATTGAGGTAAATATTATTTATACGTGTACGTTTACACTCGCAAACATCCACTTTTCACTTCTTAAGCCTAACCAATCGATAAAGAGACTTCTCAAAAATAGCATAAAACATTTGCTGAGTAAGTTTATAAATCTGAATAAAAGTTACCAGTGAATAATAATTTTTCATTTTCATTTCTGAGATATTTAAGGAATTCTCAAAACCTTAAGGGCAATGGAATGATTTTATTAATCGAATATTTCTCCATCAATATCGTCTGGGTTGCTTTCGTGATTTTTGCTCTTCCTCACCTGTCCTACCATTTTAATGCCATAAAGTTTAGTTGAGTGGACATTTTGTATTAGACAAATGTTTTACCTGTTTTTGCAAATATACTGACCATTCGAAGAAATATCTTCTTCACATCCTTGGGTCACCTGTTTCACTTCTATCCGGAAACCTGTCCTCTGATCAGATTCGTCCGTTCTGAAATGAAAATCTACCTCGCTTTTCGTTTCCGGAAAAGGAACTTGAACTGAAAATATTTATATACCATCAGGATTAACACAACTTATAATACGATAACAAGTTGTTTCGATCTATAGTTAACACCTTACATTTAATGTTAGAAGCTTTGAATAAAAAATTCCAATTTTATTTACATATAAAAAAGTTGCTAGTCCGTTTTCCATGCTTATTTTAGAAGAAGAATATTAAAAACAAGTATTTCGTATTTTAAGTTGAGTTTTTAAAATTTTACAAATTAATACTAGTATATCCTCAAATGTTACAAACATCTATTTAACTGTCCTATTGGTGCTCGCTCAAAAACAAAGACTTCGTGTAGTACAGTTCCTAATTTCAACAGTATCGTACAGCAAACAAAATCAAGTACCGAACTTAACAGTATATTAAACAAAACGTATGCAAACAAATTCACAGATTAAACTACTATCACACGTATTAAAAAATTTGTTGAGATAAATAAGCTTGAGTTTTATATAACAATTTATCGTTTTAGATGAGCTGTTAAAAAGAGAGAGAGAGAGAGAGTTTGATAATGAAATGGAAGTATGTTTTTACTTTAATTTGTATATAGATTCACGACAATAATACTGATAAATACGAAATTAATCCTTTGTATTTTTCTATTTTAGGCCTAAAAATAACAACGACTGTATTTTTCAGCCAGATTATTATCATCTCAGTTACATAATGGATTTACAAACTCGGCTACCGATACAACGAAATAGATCTATAGAGCCAATTGTGTTAAGACTATCATCATTTCGTGCATATGTTCTCTAAAGTCTGTTAGAATTTGTATTTAATTTATTTCACATATATAAGATGTTCAGAAAATGTAGCTTATATTAATCTATCAAAAGTTATGTTAATATCAAGGACGCTTACTCACTGAGCAATTTTATACTAAAAACAAATAGCATCAAAATATAAAGCTTAAGATCTACAGCTAATATTCAATAGCAAAAAAAAAAAGTTAACGCTTCTAAAGTAACCTTGTTATCAGAAGATAAGGCTTAGAATCAGTAAACAAGATAATGACCTGTTTGTCCATCCAGTAGTCCACAATATCTCAATCCATGAATTTCTAGATAATCTTCATCACAGCCTCTGTCTTTCACATGACCTACGTCAAATCTCGAGAAATATACCTCCAACCGACAGACGGCGTTGCTGTGTCGAAATATTTTGTAATAGCAGTTTGTGTTTGGATTGTAAGGCCCAGGGTAGTTGTTGCTCTGCATCACACCGCTAACGTCTCGTAACGTAGCACATGTTATCGTATTCACTAAAAATATTATTATTTTATTATTCTCGTAATTGATTGGTAACTTTAATGTGGCTTTCTGCATATCGGTTACTAAGATTTCCTTACTTAGTAATAGTACTAAAACTAACGTCTACGTGACTGCATCTTCTATCTTCTTTCTATAAAACTGTAACTTTTTACCATTAAAAATCAAGTGGTAACGACTAATCTGTAAAAATAAATGCTACTAAATGTATACTTATTTATATATAGTAAAACGTAGATAAAGAAGCTTGGAAGTATGTTAACACAATATTATATAATTTCCAGCATTTTACTTTGCTTTTTACTAGTATAAAAAAACTCGTCAAAAATGACTGGAAACCAAAGCCTACCAAATTTGAACCATCCATTTGCAACTCTGCTGCCCGTAAACAGACATACAAAAAATAAAGGACCTTCTAGCTTCGGGAAACCAAAGGCTTAAATGAGCAATATCTGCTTTATCTGAAGAGTGTAAACATGCTACATGCTTTTGGATAAAAGATTAAAACATACGATGATCACGTGATTGCAAACACACCTGTTCTTCTTCTAAGGAAAAGTCGTCCTCTTCCCTACAAATAATTGGTATCTTCAGTCTTTTTTAACAAACTTTTTTTCGTAATGATTCCCAAGCATAGGTTTGCACTAATATTTGACTTATTTTTCACAGGAGTCATCCCGGCTTTCCTATTCGGATCCTACCTAGCTTGACATCATAATGATTTCGATGATGTGATGTCACACACATAACGTTATGCCTAATCTCATCCTGGGAACTCCATTCTTTACAGGTTTTTATATATCAGAAAAGTGCTGAAATTTAGGAGCTATTTACGCCTACGTTAGCAATTAAATTCAACTAAAATGGAAACTTTCAATCAACAGAGGAAGTATTATAGGGGAAAAAGTGGAACTGGACTAATGTACCTCACGAAATTCGGAGAAATCGAACGTGATCGACAGACTAACTGACCGACACCTGGCTTTTATATATTGGTGGGAAAATCACTAAAAAGGGAAAACATTTTCGGAAAGCTTAGCTACTTTTTTGCAAAACTTCAAAAACAGAACAACGCTTAACGTGATAGTATTTAGAAAATTAAAAGTAATAGAGAGAAATACCTAGATAAAAAAGAATGAACAGCTTTTTGGTCACAATATAACCTTGAGAATTTTCAGATCGGAAATGAAGGTTAATGGTCTTACGAATAATAACTTAATCACTACAGTGTAATACTTGATAATATCTTATGAATACTGAGATTAACACCTACCAATAGGGTTGTAGCAAGACCCTTTGAGCTGAGTTACTTGGATGTTAAAGCCTCTTCTGTTGGTATACCTGTCGGAGCTGAACACGAAGCTTAAGCTTTCCGAACCCGTGGGAAATGGAATAACTAAATAAATAAATATATATATATATAAGATCACAAAAAGAATTAACAAAAAAAGATTAATTCTGGATTATTCGCTATCAAAAACAGTGTTATCTAAACGAGTCCCCGCAAGTCTACGGATTTACAACGCTAAAATCCGGGGTTCAATTCCCCGCAGTAGACACCAGAAGATAGCCTATTGTGGCTTTGCCTAAACAACAATCTAAGCGGTAAAATGCTAAATTGATAACAGAAATCACGTTAAATGCAACAATAAATTAAAAAGACAAATTCACTTGCACAAGCTATATTTCAAAATAATTATAGGTTTACCTAAGTTTTCGATTCGAAAAAATTCTAGATTTTCAATATAAAATAACGCAAAATATGCAAGATAACAATGTGATTACTGAGACAAAACTGATATAAAGCTTGTTAATTTGATGCATTTGGTTCATTTAAAATAGTTTTATTCAATCTATTTACAATGTTTCATTAACAGAGTTCTTTATAAAAGGATAAATACGGGAAAAAATATCATATTAATATTGTAATTTATCTCAACGGCGCGAAAAGTTTTTTTTTTATATATACATATACATATCTCATTTGATTACTATTGCTTAACTCTGTGTTGAATGGAATGAACAGCTGTTGGAGATTAAAATTATTACTGAGAATATTAATTGTTGGAAATGTTTACTCACCTCTAGTTGGCTGCTGATGATGACCACACAGTCGTTCCTTTGATGACTGAATCTCCAGAAAATCAGCCTTACAATTCTGTTCCGTTTCCACATCGAAGTCCAAAAACTCTAACTGAACGTGACACGTGGACGCAGTAAATCTCTTGATCTCATACTCACACCTGACGCTAGGTAAATAGTCCTTAGGATAATTGGGTGACCGGATAACGTCTTTTTCTTCCGTGATTAACTGGTTACATTGAACTGAATAGGAAATTGTTTTAGAAAACGATAGAAGGATCATTATCATTGGTTACTTTTAACTGAGGTTAGTTTTATCCAGTTTATAGCTGGAAATATATAGATTTGTATTTTATCTACATTGCTACACGCAAGTAAATACAAGGACTATAATTGGCATATTAAAAAAATTAAAAACTACCTTCACTGAAAAACAATAATGAATTATCCTTACAATATACGTAGCCCAGACCCCTGATCTAAATTAAAGGCTGTTATACCAGGGTTTCAGACATCTTTCTCTCTCTAAACTAAGATTCTATAGCTATGACAAGACAAAAACATTGTAATAAAATAACGTCAGTCATCTTCCCAGTTCATTGCTTTTACCAATCAGGCACCTGATAATCAGTCATGTAATCTGAAATGCAAATGATTGGTCATTCCGCTTATGCTACGTATAATGGTTCATATTTTTCACGAACTACGATAAAACCACAAAGGATATAAAGTAGAGATATTTAAAGACTTTATTATATTCTTGTACAAAATTGCGTTACATCCAGTATCCATTTTATTCTAAAGTAATAATTTTCAAGACGTTTGAGCTAAAATAGGTAACTGCAAAACATAAAAGTTTTTAACACTAACGGTAAAAAAGAAAACGTTCATAATCTTCGTTATATTGTAAGTACACGGGCAAAGATTACTTTTTTTCGAAATATTATTAGTATTCGTTTTTGTATGATATATATAACGCAAACAAAGACGTTTTCAATGAGACAGTTGCTAAGTGTTTATATATAACTGAAATTTCGAGAAATGTATAGAGCTTTGCGGTCTCAACTCACCGAAAGAAGGGGAGACTGAACAAGAATTAGGAACTTGGTAAATCTCGAGGTCAAACCCTTTACCAGAACCGTAGTTGTCAGTAACAAAATACAAAACCATCACAGCGCCAGATGCTAAGTTGTATTCATAAGTTTCTGAAAAAAGAAGTAATAACACAGTGTTGAAAACGTAACTAGAGGTCAGAAAATATATTAGTCTACCATTACAAAAACTCAACAAAATATTAACGTCGTGAAATCCAAGATCGAGCCTAGCATGGCTAGGTAGTTAGGGCGCTTGACTCGCAATCTGCGTATTCGAATCCCAGTCCCACCAAAAACATGTTCTTAATGTCGTGAAATCCAAGATCGAGCCTAGCATGGTCAGGTAGTTAGGGCACTTGACTCGCAATCTGCGTATTCGAATCCCAGTCCCACCAAAAACATGTTCACCCTTTCAGCTGTGGGGGCGTTATAATATGACGGTCAATCCTACGATTCATTGGTAAAAGAGTAGCCCAAGAGTTGGCGGTGGGTGGTGATGACTAGCTTGCCTTCCTCTAGTCTTACACTACTAAATTAGGGACGGCTAGAGCAGATAGCTCTCGCGTAGCTTTGCGCGAAATTCAAAACAAACCAAACCAAATCCAAGATACAGCAGTAGCGTTGTTTCAACGTATGGGTAATTTATTGTTTATCTTCTATACTCTTATATGAATATACAATATCTATGAACATTACTGATGTAATATACGTAATAGCTAAAATATATACGGCAATCTTTTATAAAAAATCAACTATTTTCAATGACAAATAAAGTCCCTCTTGCTTATCTTTCTTTACTATATAGCTTACTTACTTAACCTCGGTACTTGTGTCCCACAGATTCGTTCTTTATCCGGAAGTTCGAGATAATCATTGTTACAGGTGGCGCTGTATTCTATATCTACATCTCTGAGAGTGAGTTTTACTTTACATGTCAGCGGATCGGGTCTTCGGATTGTATAACGGCATTGGAGACCTGGACCGTAACGTTGAGGAAAAGATGGAGATGAAAATCTTCCAGAAACACCCGTAATTTCCTGGCCACAACCTATAATAAATTCTGAACTTTTAATTTACCTATAAGTAAAGTACTATATTTACGATATGTGAGGTGTTTACTTATTTAATGCAATGAATATTTTTTGTAATAAAAGATGGGATTCCTGTGTTACACCACATGCTAAATTGATAAGTTCTTATTTCAGACTTTTATTAACTGAATAATCATTTCATTGACAAACAACATTCAAATTGGTAACTGATGTGAAATGTGGTAACCTTGTTTATGGCCCGGCATGGCCAGGTGGTTAGGGCGCTCGACTCGCAATCTGTGGGTCGCGGGTTCAAATCCCCGTCACACCAAACATGCTCGCCCTTTCAGCCGTGGGGGGCGTTATAATGTGACGGTCAATCCCACTCTTCCTTGGTAAAACAGTAGCCCATGAGTAAATCTGGTGATGACTAGCTGCCTTCCCTCTAGCCTTACACTGCTAAATTAGGGACGGCTAGCGCAGATAGCCCTCGTGTAGCTTTGCGCGAAATTCACAATACAACAACAACAACCTTGTTTAAAACGAATTTTACTTAACTTATAGAAACTGGTCAAACTGATTTAAAACATGTTTGTTACAAAAAACCAATAAAAAAGTCTGAAAATAGTAAACAGTTAAAAAACATCTTTACATTAATTCGGTTAGTTAGAGGTCGCTTTATACGTACGACTTGGCACGGAACCACAAGAATTTCTTCGTTGACTCACTGAAAGTTCGAAACCTCGACCAGTTCCGTAGTTGTCACTATAGAATGTCATGGTAATTGAATGTCTTCCAACCGGAAATTCCACTAACCCTGAACAGACATTAAAACAATATTTTGTTAAAAATATTTCATTATGTTCATTGTGACAGTAATGTTATAAATATATATATACATATATATATATAAAGAGAGAGAGTTTCTTGTTTAAAACTTTGGTGAAAATAAACCAACAAAATATATAAAATTTAGATATACGCCTATCTGTGTTTGTTTTGCGGAAACACTGAACCCTAAATGGAAAATCCTCTTTTTAATTGATTTCTGTTATCGATGGCATAGATACAAATGAATTCACACAGTAAATATTTTAAGGAATGAACTAGTGATAACTTCCTCTGTAGATTTATCTAAAGCACAATGAAATAATGGAAGGTAAAAAAATGACTATGGCAAAATGTTACATTTATCTTACACTGGGATCGTTTTGCTTTTAGTTGTAAATTAGTTAATATTAGCATTAACTTCCACCACAAATATTCAATAACTACTATACATTTTATTGTACTATCATGCGTTCTTCTAACAGTTCAAGATTGTTATTAGTATCTACTTTATTGTGGTAGTTAATATCCAGGTGACTATTCTCTGTTTTATAAAAGGTTACTACATGTTAACCTACTTGTTCCAGAGATCGGTCCACAGAGACGATTTCCCTCTGGAAGTTCTAAAAAATCACGTGAGCAATTGTCCCTGGAATTCTCGATGTCAAATTGGAGAAAGTCAATTTCCACGACACAAACGGATGGATCCCCTTTATGTATTGTGTAAGTACACTTCTGGTTGGCGCTGTAATCGTATGGGTAAGAAGGTGAAGTAAAGGTTCCCTTAAACGATGTAATCTCCTGGTTACAGTCTCCTAAGAAACATTGCAAAATTACCATGTCTAATGCGTAATTGTTAATTGTTTAACTGGTTTTTATAAGCAACTTTAATCAACGCAACCTTCCCTGATTTATCACGGACTTTCTATTATTATGTTATATAACGACTTATGCTTTATAGTATTGTGTGTTACAATACATCGCAATAAGCCTGATAATTTTTAAAAATATTTCTTTATTGGAACTATATTACAGATTTCCAATTACAAAACATTATAACATATCGGCCGCACACTTTGGGCTCCGCAAGCCACTGCCGACGGGGCTTTTCACTGTACACCAGAGTTGTCTAGGTTAGATCTTATCGATAAGTAGGAATTAGCTTGAATTTGGATTTTCCATATTCAACGTAAATCCGACCGACTATAGAACGAGCCGAGCTAATTCATTTTTGAATGTGGATTTGAAGCATGAATTTCGTATTCAAATAGTTTTTGTTTGTTTTGTTTTGAATTTCTCACAAAGCTACTCGAGGGCTATCTGCGCTAGCCGTCCCTAATTCAGCAGTGAAAGATAGAGGGAAGGCAGCTAATCATCATCACCCACCGCCAAATCTTGGTCTACTGTTTTACCAACGAATAGTGGGATTGACCATCCCCTTATAACGCCTCCACGGCTGAAAGGGCGAGCATTTTTGGTGGGACAGGGATTCGAACCCGCGACCCGGTGCTTGCGAGTCGAGCGCCATAACCACCTGGCCATGTCAGGCCAATAAACAGTTTTTAGTGAGAAAAAGTGTAACGCTAACCTGAATGGGTGATGAAGACTCTTTAAATGTACATTTAACGATCCCTGTAGATTATTCTAGAGGAGCAAAGATGCTGATGGTAATATGCCAACGTTGCATTTTCTAAAACAGCAGCTATATAAATATTTCATACAAAAATTAAACCATTTTAATAAACAGAATTTATGATGGATAACTAAAAGTCATTTGGCATAGTAATTCACTAGTGAGAAGGTTAAATCCGAGGTTCGATTACCCGCGATAAAAAGAGCGCAGATAGCTCGTTGTGTAGCTTTGCGCTAAAACAATAACTTCAACATTTTTGGTCATATTCTGAACTGACGTAGTCCTATGTTTTGTCTGATATTTTTCAACTGTTTCTTCATACAACTCATAAAAAGCCTCCCCCCCCCCCAGTGGCACAGCGGTATATCTGCAGAATTACAACGCTAGAAACCAGGTTTCGATACCTGTGTTGGGCAGAGCACAGATGGCCCATTGTATAGCTTTGTGCTTAACTTCAAACAAAAAACATAAAACGAGTGTTAATTTCAAATGTAACATACGGAAAAATAACTTGAAAAATAAAACAATATAAACCATGATAGACAATGAGTCCTGTTAAACAAATTTTCAGATAGAAAGATAAAACGTACATCCATATGACTTTGTATCCGTTCAGGATCACGAATAAATTGTTTGAATTTAGGAAAAAAGATCGATGAATATTTAACACACTTAATGTAGTAAAGAATTTGTAATCATTATTTTTGATAATTATTGGTTAAGTATTTTATAATTCTAAGAACTCCTAAGTCAAAGCAAAGGAGAATATGTTATAATATATCAACCACACTACATATGTGATATCCAGTACCAACGAGGTCTTCCGAGCTCATCAGGCCGACTGGGACACAACAGATATAGGTTTAGGCACTTTATACATCATCAATTTTTAATAGATATTTGCTATAATATTACCACTCATTCCAAGTTTAAAACTGACACTTTCTCCTCTGTTTCCAGGTTATTGTTGATTTATATCAGATAAAAAATGTTCTTTAAACTCGTTGCATCTGAAGATAATACTGAATGATCCAAGCAGCATTTAGAAACTGCTAAGTAGTACTTATTTAATTTGATACCAGACAAATGGAAAATACATAAAATCATAAGAGTGGAATACAATTAAATATAAAACACCTATGACCTCTTTATCAAATTCAGGAACGTACCTACAGATGGAAGATCACCACACGATCCAAGTATTTGGTTAACGTAGATCTTAAAACCTCTACCGAATACGTATCCGTCGCTAACAAACAGAAGGGTCACAGAATCTAATCCTCGCGGGATGTTGACAGTCTCTGTCCCCGAATAACGACAAAAATTAAAAATAAACATGGTGACTATGTATCGATCATTCATTTGAATATTTTAATATTGTTCTCTACTAACAGCAAAGTAAGTTTTTTTTCTATAAGAAAATAAAAGAAAGCTGGTGAAAACTCTTAGACATTGTACTTTCGAGTCAAAATATTATTTAAATTAGTTACTCGAAAATAACATTTTTCTTTCACAAAGGTATTGTAAAGATACAATATGTCATTAGGACCACCATACGTCTATAGTCAGATGTACGTCAAGATACAATACGTCATTAGGACCACCATACGTCTATAGTCAGATGTACGTCAAGATACAATACGTCATTAGGACCACCATACGTCTATAGTCAGATGTATGTATGTCAAGAAATAATACGTCATTACGACCACCATACGCCTACTGTTAGATATATGTCAAGATACAGTACGTCATTAGGACCACCATACGCCTACTGTTAGATATATGTCAAGATACAGTACGTCATTAGGACCACCATACGCCTACTGTAAGATATATGTCAAGATACAAGACGTCATTAGGACCACCATACGCCTACTGTCAGATATATGTCAAGATACAGTACGTCATTAGGACCACCATATGCCTACTGTTAGATATATGTCAAGATACAATACGTCATTAGGACCACCATGCGCCTACTGTCAGATATATGTCAAGATACAATACGTCATTAAGACCACCACACATCTACTCTCAGATATATGTCAAGATACAAGACGCCATTAGGACCACCATACGTCTACTCTCAGATATATCAGGAGAGAAATAGCTGAAGAGTTTAATTATGACTCTTTTTTATATCTTTTGTAGTTCAAAATTGTTATTTGTAATATTCAAAACCTGCGGTTTTTATTGTATTTTCATTATGTTTCAATCGTACTTGAGCAACCCGTTTAAATTTTGCAATGACAAAATAACAGAAAAACAAAAATTCACAAAATAAACGAAACGACAAAAGTTTGTTCACACATTTTTACTGATATTGCTAAAATAGATAAAAATGTTAAAAATGAAATGTCTTATTTCATTAAGCGGAAGGCTTGAAATTCTCATGTAGTTCAACTTCAAATGCTTTTTCTGACTTTTCCCAAAATTTCTTAACAATTTTGTTCGTACGTACAAGTGAAATAAACTACCCAGTTACCAAAACTAATGTAACAAAGTGTTATTCATATATTATCTTAACAAATTAGCCTGCGATTTAACATACAAACCAAATTACGCTAATTTAAGTAACTTATCCCTTAGTGATATTTTCAAACTTTCACTTGAATGTGTTATTCTCGTTCGTGATTATTTCACAAACGAAAAACTTACTTCTGCCGCTGTAACGACCACACAAACGTGTCAAATCCGGAAATTCCAAGTAATCGTTACTGCAGCCCCCTTTGTCGTTTTCCAGATCAAAGTGTTGGATATCTAAGACAATGGAGCACACCGTAGAATCAGCCCGACGAATAGTGAAAATGCAATTTTCATTAGGACCATAATTGTTTGGAAACCCGGGAGAAGTTATTTGTCCACTCGTTGTTATCACCTCTTGTTCGCAGCGCCCTCCTGCCAGATAAAGATTCGTTTAGGTGTCAAACACACAAGATATAGTTTTGAGTTATTTTCATTTGTTTCAACAGAGACCCTCATTGAAATGAATCATTTTCCCCTCTGGTTCCAAGTAGCGTCCATTCACTCCTGAGCTATAATGTCCATTACATTTCACATGAGGGAGATAATAGCTTCAGCTTTATTTCAGATTAATAATTAAATTATTTTGTTTATAACGTTTATGTAGACACTGTTGGCCAGTTTTTCCTGCCAGAAGACACACGAATGTGTCGTATCTAGCTTCTTCAGTATTAAGAGTTCTAACAGTTTGTTCCATTTACTATGATTTTTTGTTTTCCAACTACTACACACGATATTGTGTTATTTTATGAGCTACGCTATTTATATGAGAGACAAGTACCATTGAGGTGTTTCACCACAGTTGTCGAGGACATGCAGACATTTTTGAGGTATTTGCTTGATTTCAAATTAATAATCTAATTCTCTCGTTTATAAAGTCTATGAAAATGTTCCATTGAATGCTTGGAACATAACAA